CTGACAACCGTTTCATCATGAAGTTGGAGAGAGGTCATCAAGGGGACCAGTGTCTGCAAGTCTCTATAGCACACTAGCCTAAAGTGATATGATCAAGCCGCTCTTATGGACGGACCACTGACGGGACCACTCTGGAACGAGCAGGTTAGGTTGCTCAGTAAAATCAGTGGATATTATCCGCTGCTCGGCCGGGGGAGCCGTCGAAGACTTGCAAGTGCGGGGACTCTAAAGGCTAAGGGGTGTACACTAGTCATCGGCACGATTTATCCGCAGCGGCTGAGAGTCAGGTGAACCTGCTAAAATGTTAGGAATCAAATGTTATTGACTGAGCTTGCGATTGGGGGCCGCGAGTTGGCGGATTTGATTGATAATTCAAACCGCTCAGTTGTTGGTGGTCATTGGTGGAATGGCGGGTAGAGACATAGACTGGTCTCTGCCCAGATGTCAAGGCTCGAATCAAAGCCCGTACAACTACATGACAAGAGCCTCAAGCCCGCCGTTGGAATGCAAGACTCGGCTTTAGCCGACGATACTGTACATTCGATAGCCAAGCCCATGTAAAAAAAATTACTCAATTCTCATCAGTTGTATGGATTATCGCGTCAATTGAACCACAATATGCCAATTCTTCAGCGTCGTAGGCTTTGCCTCCAACTGATCCTTGCATTAGTCCCATTTCGAAACTCTATGGTATGTGTACTTTTGGATTCGTAGCTCACTTTCCACTCCTGAGCGAATTTACGAAATCAATGGCGGTAACCCGGCGATTCTCTGCCCTAACTCCGGTGACTTGGACGGAGAAAACAATGAGATCAGCCGTTTGGCTTACATACCATGGATAAGACTATCTTCCCGGTCCACATGGTTTGCGGACTTAAGTGGGACACCATAGTGACCATCCGTTAGTAGTCCCTAATATCATGAGAGGACAACGGATACTATAGCCTAGTGCTATTTCTACACATTCTTCATGATAGGTACCTACACTGTATGCAACTGTGGACGCCTCTCATAGGCAAAATGGACTATAAAAAAAAAAAAAAAAAAAAAAAAAAAAAAAGGCCCGATATTCAAGGACCGAGACTAAAAACTTGCGTCCCTTCCAGCTTCCACTGCGTGATTAGGACGAATGAAACGAGACTGGGTATGAGGCTCAGCGAGACCCTCTTCCACAGTTCCCCCCCCCTCCCCCTTTTCCCCCGATCCATAATCTGTGCGACGACGATCATTCTCTGGCAGTTTCGGAAATGATCTCGACATTTCGCTTGCAACGTGGAATCATTTGTCAGTCAGTCATGCAGCCCCAGAGTCGACAGCATGGTGTATTTGTTTACACGCCAGTCTGGATGAGGACTATCTGACTCTGCCTTTGATATTGATAGTCTGCACAGCCCTGTTCGCAAACAAGATGGCTGCGAGGCTAGCCCAAAAAAGGCATTGCTACGTATTTGGTGCGTGCGTCTCAAATGGACTGACAGTGTTTCGCTTTCAACACGATCCAGCGAATGATAATTCACGTTCAATAGAGATTCCATGGTAGTACTTAGGTTGTGACGAGCGTGTCTCATGAAGGCTTTCAGTCCTTCCGACCCTTACCTACCTACCATACCTTGTGAAATTGAGCCGGATCGGACGAAAACATTGAACCGACGGGAGTACTCCGAAGGTTGTCATGGATCCTGCGGTCGGCGTCTGCCTGGGCCCTGGGACGCAGAAAGTCCAATTGGAATTGTCCAATGTCCAGCTGATTGGGCTTAAGAACTGTTGGTTTATGGACACATGGATTTGGGGTATTCGCTTGCACACCATCTTAGTCTTTACCCGACCGTCCAGAGCACTCCTTAGTACGGAGTACTTGGTCAAGCTGCACCGAGTTGGATACCAGATTAGGTTAAGATGCTGAGAGTGGTACCTGTCATGTAAAGGTGGCTACGGTGGGGTGCTTTGGTGAGGATGAGGTACCCTGTTACAGTCCGATTAGACCCCAGTCTAGATATGGTCGACCAGGTAGGTACTCGACATGAAGATTGGTCATACGGATGGTGAAAACGTCACTTGTCAGCTTTTGTCCATTCGAAGGAAGTCGATGCTTCTCAGCCTCAAGCTCCGCAATACTACTGTGTAATCCTTCGGGAAGTAAGGTTCCCATTATCTTCTTTTAGATTTTACAATTCTTCAATTTGGGTGGTCTTTCATGTTCATTATAGCTGGTACCTACAGGGCTGAGACCTGCGCTTTTAGGCGTCCAGCGCCCGCTGCGATCTGAGAAGATCAGCCGCGATGCTGGCCTTTGTAACAGCCAGCGAGCACATTCAGCAAGCTGCGTCGAATCTGATTCCTAGCATGCTGGCTGTGTGTATATCGCAAATTTGGAGAGCGGCTATGGTGCAGCATTGGTCATCTCGTTCACGCCTCGTTTGGTGGCGAGGTGCCCCAGGGCCAGGGCGTTAAACATATCGCCTCACGTCTATTCATAATGCATTAATTCACAGACGGCGAACAGAGTGCAAACCTCAGCCTCTCGATCGATGCTCCGAGATGCGATTTAATAAATCGAAATGTGGCTGTTCCAATGTATCAAACTCACAAGCAGACCCAAACACATGCTAACGGCTGCGCCATGCTAGACAGGTCACAAAACTTCGCAGAATCAAGCCGCGATGCTAGAGAGAAATAGAGAAATAATTTTTCTAGTCCAACCCATGTGAGATAGAAAAAGCAATTCAAAACCGGGCCGTGATAAACCAGTATCCATTTAGAGTACATAACTGTAGACGATGTCAGTCTGGGACCCTCGCGCACATTGGATCGAACGTCACTATCGACTTACCTCCATGGGTGTTCCTCATCACCATATTGGATGCCCTCAATCCAGTTCTTCATCTGTAGAGCAATCTCGCCGGCCTCCTCATTTTCCTTCAATCCGCAATCAACCATTTTACCTCTGTAGCTAATGGTTCGCACAGGGCTGACAATGGCTGCGGTACCGGCCCCAAAGACCTCAATCAGTCTTCCTTCTTCAGAAGCCTCGGCAACCTCAGACATCCTAATTTTGCGCTCAGACACGGTCCAGCCCTTGGGGACGAGTCTCTCGCGCGCAAGCGCCAAGACAGAGTCTCTGGTTACGCCCTCGAGGATGGTTCCATCTAAAGGAGCGGTCGCTAGCTCTTTCTGTCCAGTCTCCTTGTTCTTCAAGGCAATGAAAAGGTTCATGGTGCCAACTTCTGTCACGTACTCCTCCTCACCAAATAGCCACAGATTCTGCTGGAAGCCCCGGGAAGCAGCCTTCAACTGAGGCAGAACGCATGGAGCATAGTTTGCCCCAAGTTTCTTATCTCCAACTCCGCCAGGCCAGGCACGGACGGCATAGTCAGTAGCCTCGAGTGAAATGGCCTTGAAGCCAGTAGGGTAGTAGGGGCCAACAGGGCTGGCAATGACGAAGAGGAGGGCAGAGCCCGGTGGTCCAACGCCAAGGGTATTTTGAGTGCCGATCATTGTGGGTCGCAGATAGAGGGAGTAACCACGGGCACTATCAGAGGTAAGCGACGGTCGATTCAAGCGGATAATGACACTACCCACTCAGGAATGAATCTGCTGTCCAGTCTCACGAATTCCCCAATGAGCTTGATGAGAGCTTGGCCGTCAAAAGTAGGCAGAGCAATACGCTCGGAAGACTTATTAAGACGCGCCATGTTCTTGTCTGGCCGGAACAAACGGATCTGACCCTTCTTATCTTTGTAAGCCTTCATACCCTCGAAACACTCGAAAGCATAATGGAACACGCAAGCCGATGGGTCGAGGCTAAGGTTTTGGTACGGAACGATACGAGGAGCGTCCCAACCGTTGGCCGCTGACCATTCAATGGAAAGCATATGATCTACCAAAAAAATTCGCATTAGCGCCTGGATTGGCACGACGGATTCCGGAGAACAAGGAGCCCGTACCAGTGAAGGACTTTCCGAACACAAGATCTTTTGGTGCCTGCAGCTCCTTAGGCGTAGTGGTCTTCGTAATTGTGAGCTTCGAAGGGTCAAGACCAGCCAGTTGAGATGCAGGAGCTGACGTTGCGCTGAAATATCGCTGCCATGACTGTCTTGTCGCCAGATTCTGAACTCCAACACGCGTGGAAGTAAAGCTATGCAACGCCCGATGACGGGTCAATTGACGAAGTGAGCTCATGATTGTGCAATATTTGACCAGCTGTACGCGCTTCGAAATCGAAGGAATCAGAGATCAGCAGAAGAGTTTCGTCAATCGATGAAATCGGGAAGAGGAAACAGTGCTAGGTGGCCGGGCAAATTAATAGAGCTTAAAAAGCGGAGGCGATGACTCCTCCCGCCGGACCCAAGAGACAACTCCGAAAGCTCCAGCTCGCGTATCATACATCAAGCAATATGTGTGACATACCTCAGTCTAGTCAATGTCGGTGCAGAGCGCTGAGCAATCTCAATCACAAAGTTCCTTGGTGTCGAAGTTGAAATAACAAGCATTGCAACGCACAATTGATGGGATAAATGTTTCTCTCAGCGGAGTCCATGTCCGACGTCGGCGGGCCCAGCAGAATGGAATGCCGGTAATAGCCGTTAGTCAGCTTTTGGAGATAAGACGTCACGTGGAGTTCACCTGTGCCTTATGGTTGAGATAACATAAGCCAGTCTTTTTGGGGCAGCCGCCTTGCACGTGACTTTTAGCTTAATTGACACCGCAGCATTGATAGGGGCATGTCCACATCAGGCATGGGGCCCCAAATGGCGTCAAAGTTCCGTGGAATTTGTGAGGAAAGTCAATGGCGTTATCTTCAAACAGTTTCAGGTACTGGTCATAGCTTTCATGCTCTATTTTCCTGTGTATACTTGACTTTCTTTCCGTAAGGATTGATCCGGTTGGTCTACAGCTACCTTGACTTGTGACATCTGCAGTGTCTCCCATCCGGCGGAGACAGGCTAGCTTCATTCAAAGTGTATTTCTATTTTTGAGGCTCTGATGCCCTGGGAGAGAAAATGTTTTCTTCTGCTCTCAAAACGCTGAGTTCCAACATATCAGCGAATTACCAAATATCTCCTCATCCAACCGTGGTTTCTGGGCCATGGAGAATTCATGATGGAAAGAAGAAATCAACAGGTACCACTGCTTCCGTGTTCATATTTGACAGAAAAGTGCTTGATTACAGATCAAGTGGACTTGGAAGCCGGTCCGGCTCGTCATTGAAGAAATTGCAGGAGGATGTGGTCGAGAGGTTAAAGCGTGAGGCCAGCAACCTTGCGCGTCTCAGACATCCATCAATCCTCCAGGTATTAGAACCTGTGGAAGAGACGCGTGGTGGTGGTCTCATGTTTGTGACGGAACCAATTACCACGTCCCTGGCCGGTTTGTTACGGGAAAAAGATGAGCAAGAGAGAACGTCGAGGATAGGGCCAAGACCCAGCCATTATATGGTGGAAGAGGCGGACGGGACTCGACGGCGGAGAGATCTCGAGATTGATGAACTAGAAATACAAAAGGGTCTTTTACAGGTAGCTAAGGGTCTGGAGTTTCTGCATGAGTCTGCAGGCCTTGTCCACGGAAACTTGAACCCTGAAGCCATTTACATAAACGCCAAGTCCGACTGGAAAATCTCCGGGCTCGGATTTGCAGGGCCTCCAAGCTCTACAGAGTCTCGATCATCTCTTCCGCCCTTGGCTTTGTCAGAAGTTCTCTACCAAGATCCGCGGCTTCCCCAGTCAGTGCAGTTGAATCTTGACTATACGTCCCCGGACTTCGCGCTGGACTCTAATGTGACTACTGCTGCCGACATGTTCTCACTGGGACTCGTTATCATCTCCCTCTACAATTCGCCTCATATCTCTCCGCTGCAATCGCATTCGAATTTGAGCTCGTATAAGAAGCTGCTAAACTCCCCATCTTCCACTCCATCGCAGGACAACAATTTCCTCTGCGCGGGTGCCATTCCGAAAGATCTCTTGTCGCATCTATTGCCTAAGTTGATAACAAGACGACCAGCTCAGCGCTTGAATGCCCGGGAGTTCCAGCAATCTCAATATTTTGACAATATCTTGGTATCTACCATCCGCTTTTTGGAATCCCTGCCAGCCAAAAATGCAAATGAAAAATCACAATTCATGCGAGGATTACAACGCGTGCTACCCGAGTTCCCTCCAACCGTGCTAGAAAGGAAGGTTCTTGGCGCTTTACTAGAAGAATTGAAGGATCGTGAGCTGTTGCCCCTGATCCTGCAGAATGTTTTTGCGATACTGCAGCGGGTTGCAAACGCACGTCGAACTCTCCCGGAGAAAGTTATTCCTCGGCTTAAGGAAATATTCTTCGCGCATCAATCAGGGAAAGGGACTGTTCAGGAGCGTGACTCCAAGAAGGATGCGGGTTTAATGGTGGTGCTAGAGAACATGAATACTGTGGCAGAGAATTGCCCAGGGAAGGAATTCAAGGACGGTGAGTCAGCTATTCATCATGCCTTTGCTCTTGTGACTGATCCTATTAGACATTCTACCGCTGATTCGGCTTGGTTTGGACTCGCCAACCCATTCCCTGGTCGACGCTGCAATCAAATGCTTGCCAGTTATCCTTCCGGTTTTGGATTTCAGCACTGTTAAGAATGAAGTCTTTCCTCCAATCGCCTCTACGTTCAGCCGGACCAGCAGCCTTGCCATCAAAGTGCGCTGCCTGGAAGCCTTCACTGTCCTTTGTGGGGGTACCACTGGCAACGACGCGGTCTCTGAGGACGGTCTGACTGGCATTGCTGCAGTAAAAAAGCCGACAATCGTCAAGTCTTCCATCCTAGACAAATATACCATACAGGAGAAGCTTGTCCCGTCGTTGAAAGCGATCAAGACAAAAGAGCCAGCCGTAATGATGGCCGCCTTGAAGGTCTTTGGACAAATTGGGACTATTGCCGACACTGAATTCCTTGCCCTGGAGGTTCTGCCTATCCTGTGGACTTTCAGCCTTGGGCCGTTGCTGAGCCTTCGTCAGTTCGAAGAATATATGACCGTAATCAAAGGCCTTTCCTCTAAGATTGAATGTGAACAGACGAAGAAATTGCGGGAGCTTTCTTCGGAAACGGAGGCTACTGGCTTTCAGAGCGGACTTGGAAGCTCTCTCACTATGTCAGACAATCTCATGCAGTCTGATGTGGATACCACAAGGAACACCTTTGAACGTCTCGTCCTCGGACGAGAGAGTGCTGCGCCCAGCAGTCAGGGCCTTGACCCTTGGCAGGAGTTGGTTTCGCAAGCGCCAGCCCCACAGATCTCTACTCAGAAAAAGGCTGCCGGTGCTTTTTCCTGGTCTTCGGTCAGCAGAGGAGATCCTCAGTCCAATCTAAATGCTCGATCTGTCACGCCTGATTACAATATGAGCTCTTTCCCGTCATTAGAACCTGTTGCGAGACACAGATCTCCAATGGCCCAGACGGTCCCCGCAGTACAACCTTCGTCATCGACCGCTTGGAGTCTATCAGCCTCCTCGAATATCCAGGACAACATGCAGGGTAATGGCATTGGCAACATGACTGGTTTGTCCATGGGTGCATTGACAGGTATGAAATCGCCGAACAATCCTGTTTCGAGCCGCACGTCGCAGCAGTCCCCCAATTATTCTGCCTTCACAATTCCACCTCCTCCATCGGCACCAAATATGGCGGCGTCGTTTGCCAGCCCTAGTGGTTCGACTCCCCTTGGCAGAGCTTCGCTTGTAGGGAATCCCTCGGCATCTGCCAACTCCTTAAACCCCAAGTCAACCTCGATGCAGACTACACAGAAGCAAGGTCTGGACAAGTATGAAAGCTTATTATGAATTTGTTGGCTTCTTATCAAGAACTCTGTTTGCTTCTATACCCTTTTCATTTTCAGCTAGTGCTCTTTTTCTCTTACATTTTCAGCCATATTGACTGGTTTTGTTCTGCGACTCATGATTCCCGACGATTTTCAGTCCTAGACGGAGCAGCGAGCGGTTGGTAAAAAGTTATCACATAGATTGATTTCTCTTGATCTCCACATAGGCGACGATGTTGCAAGTTGGCAAATTCCTGTTTAGGGAGCACTCAGATCAGAGAACATATAGCACACATTCTCTGACTCGATCACGGCGACGGAGAAACCAGCAGTGAAGCGTAGGCTGAGGTCAATCTTGGTGCTGTAGTTGCACCATACATCGATTAGGGAACAGGGGGTTCCAGTTGGCTTCCCCCACTTGCGCCAAGAAAGTGGCCGATGTAGTGACCTAGCTTAGTTGGAGAATTGGAGTCAGCAGATAGTGAGGTAAGTAGTATGGGAGTGTACCTAGTAGTGACGTCCTACCTACACAGCTCCAGGAATGCTCCCTCTTCTAGCTGCCTTAAGGCGTCTGCCGTCGAATCACCGGTTGCTCCCCATCCACCGCCCATCTACCACTACTACTACTTCCTTTTTACCCCTCAGTTGCCTGCCTCGCTCTTCGCTTCTCACTCAACGATTCAATTTCTCATCTTCGGCTCCTCCCTTTTCAAGCTGCATCCCTCTTTCGACGTCTTCAGAAGCCGCCTCTAATACCATCATGGATGACAAAACCAAGCAGCACTATCTGGCCGACTCACCTCCGACTGTAGTACGGCTGGAGATCAAGTCACACTTCGATAGTCTTAAGGATGGGAAGCTTAGAAAATATGCCCATTACCTGAGCAGGTTTGTCTATCATGGGCTGTCCACAAAAAAACCCCACTAGCTGTTTGCAAAGACATTGATTAACGAGTAGTTTGGTTGCTTGATCACAGAGCTGCTTTTGAAGGTACCCGCATCACACTACGTCAAGTCTCACCAGAGTCAGAGCCGATCTACGATCTCATTATTTCCCTCTACAATGCCTGTAATGGTGACTGGGCCAGCCTCGCTCAGAAGACAAAAGTCAGCGACGAACACCTTCGCTTCTTCCTGGAGTACGCCGCTCAATTTCTTGGAAATTGCGGTAACTATAAGGGCTTTGGTGATTCAAAGTTTATTCCTCGCCTGCCTGCTGCCGCGTTTGAGGCTTTGGCCTCTATAACTTCGGATACAAAGGTAGCGTTCGAAAAGGCCAACAGCACCGGCGGTGGAATCTATGAGACAAGTAACCAGTCGCTCATGCATCTGGGTTATGCTGAAGGCGGCCATATGACCACCTACTACCCTGATTCTCCTTCGATCACCAAGGATGAGATTACAGCCATTGGAGACCTCATGGAGCAGAAGGGCCTGCCGTTGGAGAATACACGACTCAAGAAGTTGCCGTCTGGCGATTTCGAACTATGGATTGCTTCGGGTGTCTCCTCGCCTCCATCCAGAGACCGGGACCTTGGGGACATTGAGTATCTGGACCTGGATGGCAAGTTAAAGGGACGGAAGGTTCACCTTATTTTCGGTGATCACAGGGAGGAGATGGCAAAGATTGCCCACAGTGCCAAACAGGCTTCTCTGAACTCTGCCAATGAAAACCAGAAGCGGATGCTCAATGCCTATGCTTTTTCCTTCGGTTCCGGGTCGATTGAAGCTTTCAAAGAGGCCCAGCGCATTTGGGTGAAGGATCAGAAGCCGATCTTGGAGACCAATCTAGGTTTCGTGGAGACATACAGAGACCCCCACGGAGTAAGAGGAGAGTGGGAAGGATTTGTAGCATTGGTCAGTCACGTTCTACAATGAGGTATTTCAGGTGGTTAATTGACTTTGGATTACTAACATCTGTAGGTCAATTTGGAGCGCACACGCGCTTTCGGAAAGTTGGTGGATAGTGCGAAAAGCATGATACCAAAGCTCCCGTGGAGCAAGGATTTCGAGAAGGACAAGTTTCTTAGTCCAGACTTCACATCACTGGAAGTCTTAAGCTTTCAGTCTTCTGGTATCCCCGCAGGCATCAACCTACCAAACTATGACGACATCCGCCAAAATCTGGGCTTCAAAAACGTTTCACTCGGGAATGTTCTGAGTGCGAAAGCCCCGAATGAGCCTGTGCCCTTTATCCCCGAGAAAGATCTGGAGGTCTACCGCAGATGCCGCGATCCGGCATTTGAGGTGCAAGTAGGCATCCACGAACTCCTGGGGCACGGAACGGGAAAGCTACTGCAGGAGACGGCTCCCGGGGAATATAACTTTGATGTATCAAACCCTCCTGTGAGTCCAGTCACAAACAAGCCTGTCACCACTTGGTACAAGCCTGGTCAGACTTGGAGTTCTGTTTTTGGGGCCATCGCATCTTCATATGAAGAATGTCGAGCCGAGTGCGTGGCTATGGTACTTAGTTGCGACTTCGAAATTCTGAAGATCTTCGGATTTGGCGATGGTCAGGTTGACCTCAACAATGAGGCTGGCGATGTTCTATTTGTCGCATATCTGCAAATGGCTCGCGCTGGTCTGGTTGCCCTCGAATTCTGGGATCCCAAGACCCAGAAGTGGGGCCAGGCTCATATGCAGGCTCGTTACAGCATTCTTCGCACTTTCCTCGACGCTGGCGATGAGTTTGTCAAACTTGTTTACAGCAAGGAAGATCTGTCTGATCTAGAGATTCATTTAGATCGATCTAAGATCCTGACTCACGGACGTCCTGCGGTGGAAAGATACCTGCAGAAATTGCACATCTACAAGTCCACTGCCGACATAGACGCTGGCAAGAAGTTGTATGACGATATCACCTCTGTGGATGAGTGGTGGGGTACCAAGGTGCGCGATATTGTTCTGAAGAACAAGATTCCTCGTAAGATCTTTGTGCAGGGCAACACAATCTTAAATGGAGACGAGGTAACTTTGAAGGAATATGAGCCCACCCTCGAGGGCATGATTCAGAGCTTCGTTGAACGCAATGTCTAAATATCAAGGCTTTGTGGACAAACTCGTTGGTGGTCAGTTCATGACTTTCCCTATCCACCGAAGGTTGGCATCAAGGACATTTCTGGCATGTATGTTCAAACACTACCACATGTAATGCAAATAACATACCACTATACTTGTCAGTCAAGGATTGGATAGAGACGGTGATGTAACAAAGAGCCTTAGTCAAAGGCATTCCGGTTTATCTCAAATAACGGGCTTACGGACAGCACCGATCCAGCAGCGATTTTGAATTAGACATAGTCATAACATGGCATCAGTACTCTGTAGTTGACTCGGGATGTTATGGTGATAGCTTCAGATCATGTGATTGTTGATAAAGAGGTGGTATCATTCCTTCTTCAGCACTGCTATTCCCCTCAGAGATCTATTCGATACAAAAATTTAGTGAACATTAGGACTTCAGTCGACTTGGGAGTTAAAAAGTATACCAATCATTAACTTCAAGTATTTGAGTAATAAGAAGAATACTATAGTGCTGAAATGTGAGCAGTAACTTTGTATGAGAACTACGCTACTGACGTTCTCCCTCGTCCCTAAGCGCCTCCCTTTGAGTCTTCGGAGTACTCCCACTTCCTCTTCAATCGCCCCTGCCGAGAATCATCCGTTTTCTTTGTCCTGTCGCATTAATCATATCTGTGTCATATTCAGAAAAGGACTATATGACGGCTTTTATTGAACCATTCTGAATATTCCTAGTCCGTGTGACCCCTATGTTGTGAGCATTTCTGAAGCCTCCTGATCGACAAGGAACCCGGTACTCTGAGTCTCGCTCCCTTAGATCAACGGGACCGCTGTCAAAACCGATCTTATCTTTGCAACTCTAGACAAGACTGGAGCCAACTTTCTTCGATAACGCTTTTGCGAAGAAATTCTCGACGTCTGGACACCTTGCTGTGGCAACCAAGCTTCACTGGCTCGCCCACCACGGCGCGGCCTCCTCACCTAACGTATCCTCAAGTGGAGGAAGACGACGACGACGACTTCTATACCGCACCGCCTCCGCATTCCCCCTGCTCGGAAGCTTCCTCCTCCAGCTTCGTCTCGTCTCGTCCGCCGCCCTTTTCATCACTTGTATTCAATACTGTGACTGATCACAGTCTCGCAAAGGTTACTGTCACCGAGTCCGCTTCGGATTCTCTCTCAACACCTGCTCCCCAGCCAGTGCTCGAAGGGACCCAATTTCACGACTCCTCATCGCCTATAGTCGCGGAAACTAAGGCCTTTTTCCAGAAAGGTGAATCCTCCGGCGCGAAATCAGCGGAAGACGGAGAACCCCCTCCGCCATACACTGAAGGGTCAAGTCCGATTGAATCATTCACATACGTGATGGCTGCGGCAGGAGGCCCGTCGAGTATTATCACTCAGGTGCAACAGGCAGGAGGGCCGCCTATCAACACATTAGGAGGTATGCAGCTTTGTTCATCTTGGCTATTGATATCATGAAATTGCGATGGACGAACGCAAGTTTTGTAAATTCGAGTATCACTAACTGTTTGCTCTACGAACTTTAGACATCGGTGGTGACGAGCATATCACTCTTGAATTGCGGTGAGGGCACATCTTCTTTGTGACAGCCATACAAAAACTGTTCGGGTAAAATGCTAATTCGTCACATAGAGGTACTCGTTTTACACTATCGAGAGATGAGCTGTTGACCCTGCCTGAATTTGTCCTTCTGTCACTGTTTCCTAATGGTCTTCTGCCTGATGGGCATATGGGCTCATTTCACGAGGGTGACATCTATCCCGTTGACGTACGTCAAGTCTTTCCGCCATTCCCTCTGTCCAAATGGATGACAGTGGCTCACAATTGTCCTCTTAGTATGATCCCACGTCACTCCAGTACATGTTAGATTTCTTCCGTTCAGTTGCGCAGTCGATCCCGTCATCTTCACCTTCAACGTCGACTTCTCCGGAATTAGAGATGTCTGAAACGGTGCTGGGATCGCCAAGAGACATACTACAAGATCGGGCCGGAATCATCGTCCTACGTGAGGACCTCGATTTCTATGCGATACCACCACGTCCTGACATCGACCATGCGGAGATGATGGAGGTCAAACGTGCCGTTGGCAGGGCACTTCTTAAACAAGACGGGATATTTTCCGGCCTGAAGAAGAGCGATGAACCCGGATCGACGGAGCAACATCTTATTGAGATGCTCACTGCAGGGTAAGTACATCAAACTCTATCAAATCTGCAAGTATATTCACAGAGTGCAGTGGTTTTGAGAGAGACGACCGGTGGGGTCACCGTGCTCCCGAACCTAACAAGGCGGTCATTTGCAGTCTTGCATTGGCTAAACTTCGCACCGACATCAGAGGTGATCTGTCGAATAACAATGCAGTCGGCATGGCACAGAAACTCTTATTGTTCTGGAGAAAACCAGCCAGGAGATGCTGGTGGGAGGGTGTCGAACTGGAAAATGTCGAGGGCGTCGAAGGCAAAGTAAAAGTGTGGGTTCGGAGAGTTTGGACGCTTGAAATGGTAAGTTAGCTTGCTCTGGTATATCGCTATGGTTCTAATCCCACGACAGAGCGTTATTGGACTCCGATAGTCTTCGTTCGGTGACTCGATACGTTTGCAGCCAGCGCATCCTCTGTTTATCACCTCCATGACGCTGTACAGACAAAATCAAAAATCAGCCCTTGTCCTTAACCCATTGCTTCAGTTTTTCGTTTGCCGAGTTGACGATATCCCCCTTATTTCCATGTCTGCATCAGACAAGCGAAATGGCGTATTCAATTTATTGGGTGCTTGTGTATTCTGCTCATTGTCTTCACTAGCTGGCGGGACTCCATGCATTACTTTCTTTCCTTTTCCTTCTTCCCTATGTCATACATATAATTCACATAAGCTCTTTTTATCGACATCGTGAATAGTAGTTAATTTGTCAGAGGTGTTAACTAAAATAAGAGAAGAGCACTGGCTTTGCCTCTTTAGTTGTTGGTTTAATGTTGCAGCTCTAACTGTTTTCCAAGACCGGATCTCCCCATGGTCAGAAAAACAATGATAGGAGTCATCCTCACCTTTTGGTCCATTATTGTCATTAGAACTCTCCATTATGTGATGCACGTGACTGTGTTGCTAGATTTGGTCTAGCGTAGATCAGAAACGCGACAAGGCAAAAAAGGCGGAGCATTGACCGCGATCACCATACAGAAGGAGCTTTAGCATAACCTCTCTGAAGATCAGGTTGTTTGGTATCGACACGACAGACCAGAGTTGCAGGACATCGCAAATCCAGTAAGAGCCATCAGACTCTTGAGGCGACTGTATCGATCACTTTCGCAAAACTCTGTCGCAATCAAATTCAATTTCTCGCTCAGTTGAATCCCAGGCCATTGTTGATTCGCATTTTCAGCAACCTCTTCTTGCTCGCTTCGTGAGGGACATGATTTTGTCCTTCTAAACGGCCAACATGTCCCCCCTCAGAGGCTATATCACGTCCTATCCTCCGCGAATACGCCAGTATGGGAACGCATTGCTCACGCCGGTCATTCCGCAGACTCAAGTTGGCCCGGCGCCGCGAACGACGAAACGAGGCACTACTGCGGTGAACTATGCAGAGGATGGCTTTGACGATGATGACTTTGACGATAGTGAAGGCCCAAGAAGGCCCACTGGTCTAAGAAGTCTACGGCGCGAAGAGTCGACAACCGACAAGACCCCCTTGGCTGAGAAGTTGGGAAAAGAAATCCATTCCCCAGTGGAGGTCCAGGGAGTTTTTCGCGACTGGATGATCAAGAGGATGTTGCGACCAGCGTATGTATCGTTTGACTCGTTCCTCCGGGCTTCCTTGCCCGCTGCAGGGCATTCATGACCGAGCTGACCTAACTTTTCGTGCCGCAACAGTTGTGCCGACCAGCTACAAATTCAAGCGCAGCTCCCCCTGACCCTCATACCGATTCGTATTGACTTGGAGGTCCCAGCGCATCAGCCTCTCGAGCCATTTCCTATGCCGCGAGGTGTGGTGGATCCTGGTATCAACCCTACCCTTCCCGGATACCGAAGACCAGATCCCCTGCCTGCCTTCCGCATTAAAGATACGTTCCTCTGGAATCTTCATGAAGCTCTGGCGACACCTGAAGAATTTGCGATGGGCTTCGTGCGAGACTTGGACCTACCGAACCCCCAAGCCATGACTCTGGCGATCAGCAATCAGATACGCCAGCAGTTAGAGGAGTACGCTGGGGTTGCGCTACATCCATTATTTCAAAGTACACAATCGAAGCCCGCTCCCACTTCTCAGACAAATCCATCTCGGGATGTGTCCGCAACGCCAGTTCCTACGCAAGCTGCAACACCCGACAACAGAACGGTTGGTGTATCGGTAACAAAAGAGGCTCTAGTTAACGACAGTATACTAAACCCGGATGATGCATATCGGTGCCTGATCAACCTCAACATCAATCTGCAGAACAGGCTTTACACAGATAAGTTTGAGTGGTCCTTGTTACACCCTCCCGGCATGGCAGAGGAATTCGCGCAAGTCACCTGCGCCGACCTAGGCCTGGGCGGTGAGTGGGTCGGAGCCATCGCGCATGGTATCTACGAAGCTGTCTTGAAATTGAAGAAGGAAGTGTGTGAGAGTGGAGGCATGATCAGTAGCATGGGTGGGTACGGAAATGAGATCGATAACCAAGCTGCCAATGGCACCGAGGCTGGTTGGCGGTATGATCCCGAAGGACTAGGCGATGAATGGGAACCCAAGGTAGAGACCCTTTCGAAGGAAGAGATTGAGAAGCGAGAAGGAGACCGCGAGCGCCAGATCAGACGTCTACGGCGAGAAACAGCCCGCTTCTCTTCAACCGCCGGCATCACACCAGATATGTCGCGGCAGGGCAGTGGCTATTTCGACGTCGATAGTGAGACACCGCTGGGTAGAGGCGAAAGGAGCAAACGAAAGAGGCGCTTCCGCAGCTTAAGCCCATCGGGAAGGGGAGGCACTCCTGGTGGACGAGGCACACCGGATACCGGTTCGGGGGCTGGATATGGCGGAGGTGGAGGTACTTTATCGGATTGGTACGCTCGCTGATTGTGAATCATGTTGCCATTCACTGGTGCTAACGTGCTTATTTCTCTTTCAGGGAACGTCAGAGTTGGAGATGCAGCAACTGTATGGTATGGGGTTCTGCGGTCTGGGCTGTACGAGATGGTCCTGCTGGTCCAAGGGTGAGAAAGCTCCTGCAGCAATTTGAGATTCTAAGTCGTTTCACTGACTGGCTATGTCTAGACTCTTTGCCACAATTGCGGCCTATTGTACGAACGTGACAAGGTCACCCCGGAATGGTCAAGAGACTTGCATCGCCACGATGTACCGGTTGGTCGATAGTCACCAAAGCTGGCCGCCAACTATATCTACCCCCCGGAATGTCCATCGCTGCGGCGTGAATTCGTTCTTCATAAACCACGCCAATCGATTCATTAGAACTCTACAACGGTATCTCTGGGAGACTCATCCATAGCAGCTAGCACCATGAAGCTGTCCTTTTTCTTCCCCCAGCTTTTCCACATGATCTTGGGGACATAAGTCATGTATTTCTCCTTTTTTTCTCTGTTCTCATTCCCTTTTCCTGAGTTTGGCACGATATCTCTCATGAACCTTTAAAAAGGCAGGACTCCGGCGCATATGATTTTGACTTTACAATTTCCAGCTTAATTACCTTTACCAGCATTAGCTGCCGGCCCGTCGACCTGAAACGTTGCCTTTTCTCGTGGAATCGAGCATCATTTGGTCGGATTTGTTGAAAACCATTTACTTCTATAGCTGTATTCTGCAGGAGGACCATTTCACCTGATCGGTTTTCAATACCGGCACCTTGTTCACTTTCTACTTGGAGCTCTCCAGGAGTTGTCCGATCTACTTTTCCTTGATCTTTTAGTGCAGGTCAATTTGACGCTGTTTCTGTAATATGATGTGGAGCGCATCCTGCTTTCAAAGCTCAGTTACCGGACTCGCCATGGATGACTTTCGGGCCTTTTGGCCAGTTTCGGCATAGAACATGACAAAAGGAATGCCCTTAAACTAGAGTTCGATCAATCATCACAGCATAGTATTAATGATGCAATTAGTAGTGGTACATATCGCTGACGGTACAGTTTGCAGAGGCACGGGACATCCTAGTAGATAGCAAAGGAGTGCTTTTCTCTATCGATGCGTATGCGAGACTTTTTCAAACACGAACTCCCTGATGCATTTTGCAAACCAGAAGTATCAAGACATCGCATATGGAAAACATGAGTGTCCGTGGATATACCAGGATTGGAGTGCACTCTGCGACTATTGCGCAGGATTCTTCTTGGATTTCGGTGCTTCGAAAGGCTCCTGTATCAGATTGTTAGCCAAAGGATTCACGTTCTGGCAACTTGACAAGCGGCGAAGGTTTAAATGGCATACTGATAGAGCTCGTCTTTTTTTGTTTGAGATGACTTGTCGACCTTCTTCCGTGCCCACCTGGGCGCTCTTATTGCTCTGGGCCCGGACTGTAGCACCAACGCAAACGACGTTGCGGCTCCCCTCAACCTTAATTCCTGTGTTGATCTTGATTTCAAGCGGTGCAGCTTCGTGATCTTCTGCCGGGGGTGCTAGCCGGCCCGAATCGTACAAGGCATTAATGATGGATGTTGCCATTTCTGTCAGTTTAGCCTGGCGTTGCTTCTGAACCTGAGCATCCGCCTCGGAAGCTGCTGGCGGAGTGGAAGTAGAGGAGGATGGATTCTCGGAATTCATTGAAGTAGAAACGCTCGGAGTTTGCTGAGGATGGCCCGCCATAGATGGGATCATGATGGTGTTGCCGTTGCCCACTACACTAATGGAGGCGTCAATGCTAATCATAACAGGAGTGGAGTTGGCACTGGGGCAGGTCTCCCAGGTCGTGCCGTCGTCGACGGTCTCTAGGACATTCTGTCTCTCCTCATGGGTTGAATCTCGTGGGACTGTTGAAGAGTATGGGGGCGGTGGTGTGCAGACCACACGATTGCGCGCATTGGCGGCCACTTCTCGAAGCTTGTGGGAGTGATGCAAGAAAGAATCCGACGGTGGCAGCATTTTCCTATACAAGCAAAGTAACTTTCAAAAAGTATAGCGGCAGCTGAGGCAATGCGCAGTCAAGACTTTGGATTGGAACTTAGATCTGATGCTGCGGTCCGAAGAAGGCTGCTTAGGATGGTATCACAGAAATCAAGCTTGAAGATAGATTAAATGAAGCTATCTCTCACAGCAAGACTCATCTTGCTGTTATATAACCCATGATAGACATTAGCGGCACGTAGCTCAAGGTCAGTTGGAACAATAGCATGCAAGACGTTATTGATGCAGTCCAAATGACGACTGCCCACTTTCCCCAATAGTTGGGCAAAGAGCAGCGGTGCATCAATAGTTGCTGGCACTTGTGTTTATTCGCTAACAAATAAAGTGTGGTTGGTAACAATGCCCCCAGCCTCCTTATTGAGTTGGTATTGTTCTTTCCCATCAATAGGCAGAATAGGATCACGTGCTGTCAGCTATTTGTCAACACCCCTGAACCTCAGCCCAGTAAAATCGTTCTAAGGGATAAGAAATAGCAGAAGATTACTATTTTATTGATGCAATCCCAGTCAATGATGGAGGGCTGGAAGTCGGGTAGATGCAGAAAGGTAGGTAATGAAACATTCATCACTGGCCCCCATCAAGTGTCTATGAAGAAATGAAACCGATGAGGGCGGATGCAACGAATGCTACCAAGAAAGAGTACACCCACTGCCATGTCCAAAATTGAATTGAGCTCAACACACCTTGAACGCTCCTTAGTCACACATATTGCATTATTCAAAAAGGGACGGCAAAAAGCTGATCGGGTATAATGTCCAATAACAAGGTAGGCTCAAATTCCGCCATAATTCCAACTCGCATAGAGAGTGTGATCGTCAACCAACCCTGCCTCAGTTGATGACGCACTGGGTATATCCCTGGGCGCTGCTTTCGAAGTCGCTATGGATTCGACGGTATCCGGTGTAGAAGGGCTCACTTGCGGACGATCTGCTTGGCACATTGCATCGCGTCAGGCCTTGGATTGGTGCACTGTCATCCCGTACGCAGCATACTGGCGCCCTCCAATGTGTCGGACTTACTGATATCGCTGAATGTAACGCTATCGGGCTCATCCTGATGCGGTGGGATTGACGACTGTTGCCGCAGCGTTTGTTGCTGGCCACCGGGATAATATTTACCGCCAGGATGTAGTGACTGCGATGTCTGGTCATGAATTAGCAGGAACAAGAGCCGATACGAATGGAACAATTTTTACCAGCGTTCGTGCCACGCCAGCCGAAATATAAGAGATCACGGACTGGTACTGACTTCACGAAACTCGTCATCCTCGATCTGGACTTCGCGGTCCCGGATGCGACGCATCAGCGCCAGGAAATTACTCTGTCTGAACTTTTCGCTCTGATCGTGGCTGACGCTGTCAAGTAACTGTCCTGCAGTCCTAGCAAGTTCGTCCGCATCGTTGACCTGGCTTATCGGGTCGTTCTTGTCGATTTGTGGTATAGTATCTGACCCGATCTTGATTTGCTCGGTGGGCTCTTGAGCTGTGCTTAAATCCGGCTGGATTGTCTCGCTTGCAGGCTCGGCCTTCTCCTCCGTTGTGCTCGTTTCCTGTAAAGCCATGTCCGCTCTTGCCTGTTCAAATGCCGCTTCGAAAGCCGATTCATCAAATGTCTCTGTGGCGTGTTGCTGGTCGGTTGCCGGCTCATGTAAAGAGGGCAAGGCGTTCATTACCCCTCCATGCATGGGATGGTGGTGTGAGAAAGACGGTTGGAAGCCTCCGGTATACTGCTGATGTTGCTGTGTAGGTGCTTGGCGTTGCTGCTGTTGTTTCAGGAATTCATTGTGCCAACCTGGTTGTGACATTGCCGACGCCGGGGTTGCAGATGGGCCATGATGCTGCTGAATGGGATGAGAAGGCCCTGAAATATGTAGTCTCTGAAAGTCTGCCGCCCAGGTCACATTCTCGGCATGGCTAGCCACCGGAAGCTGGTGGGCGTGTGTTGAGAAAGGTCCTGAATGTTGTAGATTGGGAAGTGACGGTCCGGCCAGATCCGACTCAAAAGCAGCAAACTCGGGGTCTAGGACACCATCGCTCGTATTCTGAGATCTGAAGCCCTGTCAAAGAAGAATGTTCAGCCGACCGGTTTAATCCAAATCAAAAAGAGTTCCGGATGAGTTGCAACCTTGCTTACCTGAGAGGGCGACCGGCGGGAGATCAGCCGATCCTGTTGGAGAGTCCGATCAACAGATGCATGTTTCTGGAAGTTTTGCAAGGCATTTGATGGTCCGCACAAAGCATCACTCATACTGTCAGTGACTTGCAGCACGGTAGCTGGCCACGGTAGCTGGACGAGAACAAGTCGTCGGAAGATGGAAGCAACGGGTGATCGATCGTAGAACGGACTATACGCTACGTCTCAACTGCAATGAGGTGCGCAACAGAAATATGTCCAAAGATATGTCTATTCAAGAAGTTACAAAAGTACCTTTCGAGCGACTGAAGAATTGTACTCATGTAAAAGGCATGAAGAGGCAAGATAAAGACAGGGTAGAACAACGCCCGTGGGGTAGGTTGGCCGAGTGTCAAAGCCGAGGCCCGTCTCACGTGCCTCTGGGCGTGACTACTGACCAGAGAGCGCTGAGTCAGCCTCAGCCGATAAGATAAGATCACAGCTTGTGCGCTCAAGTCAGTGAAACGGACAAGCTGGCGGTATGGATTACGGAGTACCTGTTTGCATGTTGATTTCAATCCTCCACCGCCGCTATCTTCCCCTCTCCCCGGACTCGTCTAGAACGTCAATACAGCGAGATATATATTTCTCGAGCCACTTTTTTTTTACCCTCTGTCGTAGTAATACTTGCTTCGGGTAGTCCCATTGGTCATCATGGTGTGTTTATCTCGGGCAGCTCTTCTCCCCCTTTAAGCTTCACATTGTTCTCTTATTGACATCTCCAAAGGCAGCTGCTCAGGTTATTTCGAATTCTGGTCATGATGATATGATTGTACGTGATAATGCGCCATGTCACCGTCATGATGCTACATCACGAGTCGCGGGACTAACTTGAGTGGCCCTTTCTTGCAGCATGACGCCGGATTGGACTATTACGGCCGCAGATTAGCGACCTGCTCGTCGGATAAGACAATAAAGGTTTTCGAGATCGAGGGGGAGACACATCGCTTGGTTGAAACGCTGAAAGGGTGAATCACCTCAACTCTGCTGGCTCAACTTTTTAATTGCTAACATGGGCATATTTGGAATCGAAAGACACGAAGGCGCGGTGTGGTGTGTGGCATGGGTAGGTTTGAGAGTCCTTGTCATGCAGAGTCTCCCTTCGTTCGCATGGCTAATATGTTGTCTACTCTTCGCCTCAGGCTCACCCCAAGTTTGGCACGATTCTGGCCTCTTCGTCGTACGATGGAAAAGTGCTTATCTGGCGTGAACAACACCAAACCACGACCTCCCCCGTTGCAGGCAGCTCCTGGACAAAAGTTTTCGATTTCTCCCTCCACACTGCCTCGGTGAATATGGTTTCCTGGGCTCCACACGAGAGCGGATGTCTCCTTGCTTGCGCTTCTTCAGACGGGCATGTGAGTGTCCTCGAGTTCCGCGACAACAGCTGGACTCACCAGATCTTCCACGCTCATGGAATGGGTGTGAACTCGATCAGTTGGGCCCCAGCAGCGTCTCCTGGTAGCTTGATCAGCTCGAACCCTGCTCTGGGCCAGCAGCGGAGATTTGTTACCGGTGGCAGTGACAATCTGCTGAAGATATGGGATTACAAGTACGTTTGCCCGGGACGATTTCCAGTCTTCCTGGATTTGAAGCCGACGACTGTACTAATTACTTGAATTATAGCCCGGAAAGCAAGACTTACAACCTTAGCCAGACGTTGGAAGGTCATTCGGACTGGGTCCGTGACGTCGCGTGGTCACCCAGCATTCTGTCCAAGTCCTATATCGCCTCTGCGTCTCAGGATAAGACTGTGCGGATCTGGACCTCTGACGCATCGAACCCCGGCCAATGGACCAGCCAGCAGCTGGAATTCGACACTGTCCTTTGGCGGGTTAGCTGGAGCCCTAGTGGAAACATCCTTGCTGTAAGTGGAGGGGACAACAAGGTCAGCTTGTGGAAAGAGAATTTGAAGGGACAATGGGAGAAGGTAAAGGACATTGAGGAGTAGATTTGATCATTCCTTGTATTAATTTTCATTTCCTGTTATCATATTCCCAACTTATTAAATGGTGAAAGAGGTCTGGTCCATTAAGATGTCTCCATCCTGCATTCCACCGCATTTCTTCCCGACGAGAGAAAACACTTAGAACAGCGAATCATGAGAAAGACTAGACCATGGAAGCAGCAAGCATCCACCGTCGAAACTTGCGATTTGTCTCGACGCAAAATGAGTCGTCACATAGTCCAGAAAATGAAAGGGCCTCGAGCATTCGGTTCTATCATATCAATCCATCGTCCGATCATGATCGTTCCACTGGGAAGAATGACTCCCTCGTATCCATGGATCCAATTGAATTCTACCTCCAAATCATATGGCGGCCACGCTTCCTCTGGAAACCACAGATCATCCTTTCCCTTTCCAGATGTCTCATTATCGTTTGGTATAAGCGGAAGGTGTTCCCTGTTCGCATCGTAGATGGCAAAGCATATACGGCGCCAATTGGGGAAGCCACCGTGAGCCGTGGGGATGGATTCTGTAAAGCCGCGCACAAGGTACGTTGCATCGTCATCAGATCCGTGCTGTGTCTCAATGCCGCGAAAGTACGAGCAATGCGTTTTCGACCCCAGGATAGGGATGATGGAGTCGAATAAGGTCGGCCAATTCAAGAGGTCAGGGTCTAGCTTGATTCGCAAAGACTAAAGGCGAACCCGATGTCAGCTACCTGCTAAGCTGACTGATGTGTATGTAGGCCTTACCATAGGGTCCACCTGCGGCCAATGTGTTTCCAGATCAGCGCATGTCTGACGGTGTTCCAGACGACTCAGCGAATCGGGATACGGATGGATGCACGCTATAAAACAGATTCAATCACTTCAGGTTAGCTTCTTCCTGTAGGGTGCTCAGCAGAACAAAGAGTCCTCAATTACTGACAATAATACCCCAACCAATGGGTACTAACGCAAGATTTGCTGTCGGCCAGAGGTCGCGTGGCTTTCGGTCGCTGATACAGCGATGTATACGAGGAGAAGAATGTCGCTTCGTTCGGATTGAGGAGATGGCGAAGCCAGAAGTTGCGAATGTGCAAAACCTTCTCCAAGTCCAGCTTGCCTACACTCACAAGCGGCTCGCTAATATCCGCTTGGAATGAATATACGGCGCCAATATCATAGTCATTCCTGAGGCAATAGAAGGCCATAGACGGGTCCAACACCAGATGAGTGAGGCACTAGAATGTTTGATGAGACTGTGTCCAATTTTGAGACCCATATTTCGGGTGAAGGGCTTACTAGCTGAACAGCGCAAAACAACTCAGAAGGGGCATCGGCCTTCGTGTCGCCATATCCGCTCACAGGTCTGTTCAGGAATTCCGAGTTGTGGAGTGTCCCACGAATCTGCTCGAGGAGCTTGGAAGCAGTGTGTTCATCTGTCGGGGCTGATTCAAGTGCCTCCAGAAGCATGTCTCTCAGCACTTCCAGCCACAATGTTTGCTCCTTCTTCTGGCCGTATCGGAAGCTGATCTTCTGAGACAGCACAATAGAACGTATCTGATACTCCAGTTTGAGCTCGCTTGAAGGACGTGTCTGAGTGATACCGTAAAGGTCCTTGAATCGCTGGCGCCAGATGGATGAGTGAGCCGGTAAGATTGCCCTAGCTAGGTGGACACAGCACGACACCAGATTAACTATATCGGCATCGCTCGGGAGAAGATATGCAATATACTGGATTATCTGTGTTAAGGTCCGTCAGACACTAGTCCATCTAGACATTAACTCAAGGCAGATACCTCTGTTGGAAGCTGCAGCAAGGGACTTGCGTTTTGACGACCCCGAGCTCGTGGGTCTGTCTTTCGCCGGCTTATGTCTCGATGGTGGGCCTGAGTGTCAATGTAGTTAGCTAACTCGTGACTGCCGCGCATTCTGAATATGGTTGCTTGTAAAGAAGCGTGTGTGGCATGGGTGCCATGCAAAGTTGTGTTAAAGGGACGCAGCTTCCTTGGGATGGCCAACGAGGATGTTGACAAGGCGCTTCGCCGTATTGAGATATCCAAGAGTTGTTCAGCTCAAAAGTGAGGCCACTATGACTGGTCTCAGGTGATTGAAAGGAGGTGAGTGGATGACTTGGTGGACAACCGCGAGGCGGCTTCATCTCAGGCCGGTTGTCTGACTGCGTCTTCCAAGTTGTCATGTTCACTTAATGTCTTGCACTTCTGGAAAATTAAAAGCAACCCCTTAGCTTCGATGTGTCTCACTCCTCATCTGCCTCTGAGCCTGTACATCCCTGGTGGGAGAAGATATTTCGCTTTGTGCCTCTCCGTCTCAGCAGTCGACAAATGCGCATAGCACCCCGATTTGGACTGCGCGAGTTGGGGAGCACTTCCTTTTATCTTCCTAAGAAGAAGTATCGAGTCCTGGATTCCTCAGTCGACCCAGCAACAGTGATGACTGCCTACACGGTATGCACACCTACATTGGGGGTCGAAAGGAGTCGACCGCGAGACACAGACGTCGCACTATCCGAACATGCAGTGGGAATAGCCGGTGGGAATCAATACTTCAGGGATCAGCCAGATTGGACCGATGATGCAGTCAAAGAAGTGAAGATGGCAACTCTGGCTCCTAGCGTAAAACTGTGTAAGAGGGACTCCAGGACACAAAATGGGTAATCCGGTGATGCTAGGGCAGATCGCCACCCTCCTTCAGAAGTTACGTGCGCATACTTTCGCCAAAGGCCCTCAAAAATTCTGGTTGAGCACTTCATTCCAAATCAGAATAGAAGCCAGTAAGATCTAGGTGGATGTCTGCTCATAGACCTAAATTCAAGTTCAGTCTAACCAACTTGCACCCTACCGCGATTCCTTGTCAAACTTTCTCTGACACCCCAACCGTTGGCGAGAAGGCCTTTAACCTCCTCCAGGCTAAGACCGCTCATTTCGGGGTAAATGGCCCAGACTCCAACCCATCCAACAACACAAACGCCCGCATAGGCTGTAAATGTCCAACTCGGAGAAAGCCAATCCATCATGGGCAAGAAGGTAAGTCCGACAATGAAATTGGACGCCCAGTTCGTTGCAGTCGCGAAAGCCGATCCAAGGGAACGCACATTCAGGGGAAACAATTCTGACTGTTGCCAGGGCACGTTTCCTAGTCCAAACGCATAGGAGGCGGTATACACAGTGAGGCAGAGAAGAACAGCGATTGGAAGAAGCGACTTATTCGTGGCGCCACTATCGGCTTGGGGTTGTGATCGCGGCTCAGAAGAAAATCCTGGCAGCTCCATGGAGCCGAAAGCCAAGGCACAGACAATTAGTGATACACTCATGACAGGTATTGAATATAACAGAATGCGACGCCGACCAATTCTATCGATCAGCGCATACGCCAACAGCGTAAAGAGAAAATTGGTCACAGCCACAGATAGAGACGTAAGGGTGGGCGAGGAGAATGCGAGCATGGAAAAAATAGTCGCTGAGAAATACATGAGACTGTTGAAGCCGCAAAGCTGCTGTAGTCCTTGCAGCATGGTGGCGATGATCAAGGCTCTTCTATTTCCGCCAACGCGAAAAAGATCTTGAGCACGCTGCGCAACTTTCCCAAGCCACGGTATCCTACCGCAATCGACACTAGGTTTAATGCGGTTCATCTCTTCTTCCTCTTCAGCTACCTCAAGCTGAATACTGCGCACGACTTGCTTAGCAATCTGATGATTGTCAGATTGGCCCTGATAGACCCTAGACAACACACGACGAGCCTCTGCCTCCAATCCCGCCTGGACCAGCCATCGGGGGGTTTCGGGTAAGGCAACGACGATGGCGAATTGCAGCACAGCCGGGAGAGTTCCAAGGCCGACAATCCAGCGCCAGCCACTGGTGGTTGTGGAGAACAGCCAGCCAACGACGTAAGCTACAACCTGGCCACCAGTGATGAAGAGGCACAAGATAGTCACGAATCTCCCACGGGCATGGGAAGGCGCCAACTCAGAGATATACCTGGGGAAGGTTACGATCAGTCATTCCGTCCAAATAACGATCCTCTCAATCTAGAGACATGTAGCCTCAGACGGCCCATCTTCGTTCCTGGGGGAGATGCGCGGCTGACTTACAACGGAGTAACCAAGCTCGCAGCACCGACGGCTAGACCAATAACACTTCTCCCGAGTATCATGCCCCATACTTGGCCAGTAATGGCCTGTATCAAGGCTCCCAGAGTAAATAGAGCATCTGCGACAAGTATAACTCTCCGGCGACCGAGCTTATCTGCCAATATTCCAGCCAAGGGACTTGCCAATAAAGCGAAGAGGCTCGTGCAAGATGTGATCAGGCTCTTGTCTAGGGTCGTTAGGACACGGTTTGAGAGATCAGAGCCAATAGACACGAGGGTCGAAGAGATGACGCCTGTACTGTACAGGACGTATATGTCAGTTCATGTGTTGAGTGAAATTTCTTGATTTGTCCTCCGCAGAAAAGAGGTGTTCAAAAGACCGAAGAACTTACTCATAACCAAATAGAAGCCCACTTATACCGGCTGAGAATGTCAAGGCCCAAATAAACAGGCTGCCCGAGTCCCGCAAGTCCAAGATCAATGTCTGGCTGTCAGCAGCAGGGTGAGGGGTGTCATCAACGGCCGCTTGCTCTGTTGAAAGCAAAGGGGCATCGGGCGCCAACTCATCGTTTGCATCACCACGATTCATCGCTTAAGCTTCTTTTTTCCCACAACTAGACATTGGTAGTATACAGACTACAGCAGACACTGGTCTACTGCTGTGGCATGAGGTTGTCGATAATTGAGATGGATACAAAGCCGTTTATTGGTACTGGAGTGTACATCATAGTGGCTCGAGGCTCACGGTGCTGACAGCTGACGGATCCACTCCGCCCGTGCTTGAGATGTTATCAGCGGCGAATCTCTTATCTACAACGGTAATCCATGAAGACTACCTCTCTAAAGGCTGATAAGATTAAGATACCAGCCGCTCCGCAAAGCTTTGAAGCAGACTTTGACTTAAATTTGGTCGATGTATGAATAGCTTATCAACATCGTCCCCTAGTGTTGCGCCACCACACCAGCCTCATTGGCCTGAGAGCTGATCATCTTCTTGTAGGCATCGACGGTGCCATCAAACTTGTGTACTGTGCCCTTGTCACAGACCCAAAGGCTGGTGCAGACATTCCGTAGCATCGTCACATCGTGTGATACCATCACCACACCTCCTTCAAACCTCTGCAACGCTTCAGAAAGCGCATCCATACCCTCAATATCCAAGTGGTTAGAAGGTTCGTCAAGCACAAGGATGTGCGGGTTAGTCAGGGACAGGCAAGCGAATGCGACACGCGACTTCTGACCTCCAGATAACAACTCCATGCGCTGAAGACCAGTAGTTCCGGTGATACCGAAGCTAAGACGAACGTCAGTCGACATCATACGGACTACCTGGAAATAGGAAGAAAGTTCGGTTCAAACTTACGCTCCCAGATGCCGTCTATATTCTTCATCTGTCTTTCCGGGATAGGTTTTTGCCATGAAGCTCACCGCACTAGTAGTAAGATCCAGTGCGTCCACATGATGTTGCGCGAAGTAACCGATTCGTAATCTTGCATGGGTTGAGATCAAGCCAGATGTTGGCTGGAGTTGACCAGTCAACAGCTTCAGCACCGTAGTCTTACCGGCGCCGTTTGGCCCAACAATACCGATACGGGAATCGAGCTGGACATCGAGCTCCACATTTCTGAGGAGCAGTTTGTCTTTGCTGTAGCCGAAAGAGACATCCGACATCTGTACAATCGGAGGGGAAAGCTTCTCGACGTCTGGAAACTTGAAATGGACCACATAGTCACTTTCTGGGGGCTCCAGGACTGGCATTCTCTCCAGTTTCTTGATTCTTGACTGCGCTTCGGATGACTTGGCGGCATTATAACGGAATTTGTCGATGAAGGCTGGCGTCTGTCGTCAGCAAGCACGTAACCAAAGAAATGCCGGAATAGGGAAAAGAATGCCTAACCTTGCAGATGGGCACGTTCTGCCATTTGCTTTTCATATTCGCGCTTGGCCATCTTCTTCCGCTCCTCCTTGGTGGCATAGAAGGAATCTGCGGCCTATTAGTAATCTCATTGAAGTGCAAAAGAGTTAATACTTACCAAAGTTGGCTCCCTTGTAGTAGTCCAGTCTTTCAGAATGCTGGTGCACAATATCTGTGGCCACCTCGTTGAGGAACGCTCGATCGTGAGAAACTACAAGGATAGTGCTGGGATACGACTGGAGGTAGTTGGATAGGAAGGTAATGGATGGCACATCCAACATGTTTGAAGGTTCTGTATCGCGTTAGATCAAAATTGATGCTTGCCTGAAAATTGAGAGGCACGGAGCTTACCGTCAAGCAGAAGCAAGTCGGGCTCGCAGAACAACGCCCGTGCGAGCGCCAGTCTCATTCGCCAACCACCAGAGAACGTCTTTGTAGGATATTGCTGTCTCTCCGGCGAGAAGCCGAGACCGGCTAAGATACTGGCAGCGCGAGATTCTGCCTTGTCCGATTCCATCTCGGCCAGCTTGGAATAAATGTCGCTCAGGGTTATATCGAGGCCCTCTCTCTCATGGTCGAGCCTGGCGGCATCTTTCGATGTGTCTGCCATGGATGACCTTTCCACTTCAATCGCTGCAAGCTGTTTGCTTATTTTCTACAAAGTCGTCAGCTAAATCGCTCTCAACGGAATGGGTCGTAGAATGGGGCCCACCTCTTGCTCTGCAAGAAGACGCTTCCGCCAAACATCTGCGTCCAGAACAGCCTGAATGGCCGGTGTATCATCGCCCGTAATCTGAAAACTGATGTCAGCAACAACTACCAGAGGGAGAGGTTACTAGATAAGCGCACCTCTTGCTCGACGTGTAGAATTGAGATGTGGCTGGGAATGGCTACCTCTCGGCG